TGTTGNGCCATGTAAGTATACTCCGATAGTGCTGCATCACGTAAGTGATGTGTAGTGCTGTATCACGTGAATGCTATGTATTGTTGCGCCATGTAAGTATACTCGATAGTGCTGCATCACGTGAGTGATGTGTAGTGCTGTATCACGTAAGTACTCTGTGATGCGACATCACGTGAGCTAAACTATGCCTAGATGAAGTTTTATTTCAAAAGAATGAAAACATAAAGAAAGAGATGGAAGATTAAAGAAAAATAAAAAAGTCAAGTTAAAGTTCCGGAATTAGAATGTAAATTATTCCGAAAGAATTTTAAATAACAATTGAACATACGTAGGTGGAAAATTAATGCTAAGTTCACGCAGGTATGGGAAATTGTGTACTTCTCGATCATCTTCCAAATAGCCCTGCCATTCATTCAACAATCGTTTGTGATTGAAGTAATCGAAAAGTTTCTTTTCAATTCGAAGTATGCAACTAAATTAGTAAGTTAATAATAGTTCACTTAATTACAAAATTTCAAATCCAAAATACTATTGAAAAATAATTAAAATGAATTTCACTTTTTCACTATTTCATATGCAAATATCGATTTCACTGCAAATATTTTCCAAATTTCAAGCATGATATATTTATAAAAGTAGGCAATAATTTATTACAGTAATTAAACTGCTTACATAGTGTAGTACAGTAATTAAATATAATTTATTACGTAATATAAAACTTGTAAAGTTGTAATAATTTCATTAGCATTATTACAACGATGATTTCATTAATATATTGCAATTAATATTATTTTAAAATATTTTGATTAAAACAGAAACTAATTATAATCAAACATCATACCTTCAACTCACCTGGTTGGGATATCACTGGTGGAATTATCAGGTGAACGGCGAAATTCAATTGCTGATACAGTTCTTCTAAAATCTGTCAACGGTTTAAGCTCATTGGTATTTGGTGAACCAGCCGTTAATAGATCTCTACATACATCAGCGTTGCTAACACTTGATTGAGTAGATTCCGTTGAATCTTCTCGTAAATCAGTGTCATCCGTAATACGCTGCAATAACGGGTCAGGATAAGCAAATTTGACAATTCGAAAATTCAACAACATATCATAAAGGGAATAATAGTTGATTGGCTATTTGTTCCAATAAAATAATTCCAAGAATTGTCATTTTAAAACGTGCTGTTTGTGAAAAAATGATATTTTTGCAAAATTTTAACAAAAAAAAAAAAAGGAAAAAAGAAAAACAAAATTTTTGAATGAAAAGTTTTTTAAATGAATGATTTAAATCAATAATTATATTTCATATTTCGATGAAGTCGAAAAGAGCACAAATTATGATGAATTATTTTAAATTAATTTCAAAAGATTGTTAGAAAAAAATATGAATAATCATTCATATTTTTTTATTATTTTTGCAAAATTTTTTTCTTTCAATTAATTGTCATTAATTTATTTCAATTTAGCACACGCATATATTACTTAGTAGATAACTTACATTTAAAAATGATTGTAAATCAAGTCGAAAATTCAAATCACCAAATAAGAAAAGTGGATATGAATGGTTATCATCATCATTGACCCGTTTTAATTCGTTTAAAACAAAATTTAATGCTCGTTTTCGATTTTCACTATAAAGTGCTGGATTCTGTAAAAATATATTTCTATTAATGTTATAATAAATTATTCCAAAAATTTCTTTTCTCGACCTTCTCAATTTACCAGAAAAAAAACAAAAAAAAAGAAAATTGTAAAAAAAAAAATTGTAAAAA